GGTTCGACTTATATGAAATACCTGGAATGGGCAAATTCTTAGAGCCTGAAGAATTAGAGACCTGTTAGAGGTCACCGGGGCTGGGGGAGGGGCAACGGGTGGAATTGGGTCCAGGAACCCCAAAGAGACTCCTACCTCACACCATATACAGAAATGAACCCAAATGTGTCAACAACCTTAATGTAGGAGCTAAAAGCATAAAACTCTTAGGAGAAAACAGGTAAGTCTTTATGATCTTGGATTTGACATTGGATTCCTAGATATGCCAAAAACATGAGCAAAAAAAGGAAAAATAAATACAAATTGGGCTTCATCAAAATTATAAACTTTGTACATCAAAAGACATTATCAAGAAAGTAAAAACACCAACCTAGAGAAGGGGAGAATATTTGAAAATCATATATATGTATTCAGAATAAATAAAGAATTCTTACAACTCAACAACAGGAAGACAAGCCAATTCAAAAATGGCAGAAGGCGGGGCGCCTGGGTGGCTCAGTTGGTTAAGCGACTGCCTTCGGCTCAGGTCATGATCCTGGAGTCCCGGGATCGAGTCCCACATCGGCTCCCTGCTCAGCAGGGAGTCTGCTTCTCCCTCTGACCCTCCCCCCTCTTGTGCTATCTCTCATTCTCTCTCTCTCAAATAAATAAATAAAATCTTTAAAAAAAAAAAAAATGGCAGAAGGCGTGAATAGACATTTCTCCAAAGAAGATATACAAACAGCTGGTGATCTCACACAGATGTGCAACATGACTAATCATTAGAGAGATGCAAACCAGAACAACAGTGAAACTAGTTCACCCGTCCATGAAGACAACTGCACACAGGCACCATATAGAGAGTAACAAGTGTCGGCAAGGATGTGGAAACATCGGAACCCTTGTCGGTTGCTGGCATGTGAAGTAGCCGCTATGGAAAAATGGTTCGACCCCGCAGGAAGCTGAACATAGACTTACCGTTTGACCCAGCAGTTCTACTCTGAAGTGTATATACCCAAAGGCATTGGAAGCAGGGACTGAAACACATACTTGCACACACGTATTCACACAGCATTATTCACAGGAGCCCAGAGGTGGGGACAACCGAATGTCCTTCTGTGGATGGATGGAGGATCAGATGTGGTCTCTACACACATACGGTGGAATGCTATTAAGTCTTAAACAGGAATGAAGTTCTGATACATGCTACAACATGGATGCAGCTCAGAAACATTATGATGAGTGAAATAAGCCAGACACAAAGGACCTATGTTGTATGGTTCGACTTATATGAAATACCTGGAATGGGCAAATTCTTAGAGCCTGAAGAATTAGAGACCTGTTAGAGGTCACCGGGGCTGGGGGAGGGGCAATGGGTGGGAACTTAATTGCTTAATAGTTAGCATTTCTGTCTCGGGTGATGACATTTTGTAGGAAAAAGCAGTGGTGGCTTGAGATTCTCTCCGCCCCGACGCCACGCTTGCTCACTTGCTCTCTCAAATAAGTCTTTAAAAAAAAGGTTTATGGGCACCTGGGTGGCTTAGTTGTTAAACGTCTGCCTTCGGCTCAGGTCATGATCCCAGGGTCCTGGGTTTGAGCCCCGCATCGGGCTCCCTGCTCAGAGGGGAGTCTGCTTCTCCCTCTCCCACTCCCCCTGCTTGTGTTCCCTCTCTCGCTGTGTCTCTCTCTCTCAAATAAATAAAATTGTAAAAAAAAGGGTTTAGGGACGCCTGGGTGGCTCAGTTGGCTGAGCATCTGCCTTTGGCTCAGGTCATGATCCCAGGGTCCTGGGATTGAGCCCAGCAGAGAGTCTGCTTCTCCCTCTGCCCCCCCGCTCCACTCTTGTACTCTGTCTCTCACTCTCACTCTCTCTCAAATAAATAAATAAAATCTTTAAAAAAAAAAAAGGTTTAAATGGTGAAATTTATGTTCTGTATTTTACCACAATTTGGAGAAAGATCCCTGTGCAGACTCCTCTGTCCTGTGGAGTGCTGTTTCCCCGAGCTTTCCTGCGAGGTCACTCTGACAAGGTTTTGGAGCTGGAATGCCGTGTGGGCAGAGCGTTGTGGGCGTGTTCCCCCACGTGGACGAGCCGTCTCTGAGAGTGCACCTGCAGACTTGGGTGTCTGCGGGGAACATGGACTTTGAGGAAGTGGAGGTGTTCCACAGGGGATTGCAGCCGTGTTTGCAGAACTCTAAATGTGCTAACATCATTTACATATGTATATAAATATGCGTATATTTATATATACATAAACGTAAGTGTGTATCTCCCCTTTCTGTCATTCATTTTTATTGCTGTAAGTTTGAACTCTAATGTTTATGTAAAGGCAGATAATACCTAAGGTCATTCTGTCCCCACTATCAAGTCATAAGTTTAAAAAAATGAAATCAATCCAACCTTTCCTTTGCCAAGAAGTTGTCTTGGGTTGTTTGCATTACCCTATCTGCACTGAAAGCTTATACCTTTAATGATCTTAGCTTTTCCAGTAAATAGGTTTTAAAATATTATCATATTCATTTTGGTGCCAATTAATGCACTTAAGATATTTTATCGATGTTATTTCTGTAGTATATTAACAATGAGGGAACAATATATAGCAATTATTTCAGCTTTAGGAAGCACTTAACTAGATTAAAAGCTATAAGTAGCAGATATTACACTTGAGAATAGTGGTCTCATCGTGTGCTGGGTGGTTGTTAGCCATGGCCTGTGCCTTACTGTTACAAGGACAGGTGATAAAACGAATTTAGATACTAGGATCATGTTGGCAAAATAACTAGCTCTATTAGAAATAAAAACCTCAAAGTGTGCTGTTTTCAGATATATGGCTCTCATATAAATCCTTTGTTATTTAGGGTCTGCTACTCAACAGAGGTTGGTTTTTAACTCCCAGCAGAGTTCTTAAAACTCAGACCCTTTTGCAGCATCACTGGCTGCCGGGGCTCATCCTCATTCTGGCGTTCGGCATTTGGATCCTGCGCGGTTCCCGTCCACCTTCTCCCAGGAGCAGAATGAACGGCGTGTCTGGGGGCACCTGCCTGGTCGGTTGGGAGTCAGGGTCGTGAGCTGAAGCCCCATGTTGGGCATGGAGCCTACTTAAAAAAAGAAAGGTGTCTCGGGGCTCCTGGGTGGCTCAGTCATTAAGCCTTCAGCTCAGGTCATGGTCCCGGGGTCCTGGGATCAAGCCCCACATCGGGCTCCCTGCTCCGCGGGAAGTCTGCTTCTCCCTCTCCCACTCCCCCTGCTTGTGTTCCCTCTCTCGCTGTGTCTCTCTCTGTCAAATAAATAAATAAAATCTTAAAAAAAAAAAAAAAAAAGAAAAATGTCTCTAGAGTTGGCTCTCAGCCACGAGCTGGCGTCTGTCACTGGCAGGTGGAATAAGGAATCACTCTTACCAGTTGGTTGCTTTGGTGTTTTTTGGAGAATACCGCTTTGCAGTTACCTGGTTTGTGATGAAACATTTGTTCCTGTTATCATAGGAGGCTATTCCGCCGACCATCCTGTAATCAAAGTCTTTTGGAGAGTTGTGGAAGGATTCACCGATGAAGAAAAGCGCAAGCTGCTCAAGTTCGTAACGAGCTGCTCCCGACCCCCTCTCTTGGGGTTTAAGGTACACAGCTTCTTTGTCATTTGCTTTAAAAACCAACTTGCAAGCAGGAAAGGCAGCAGGATATCAAGTGGGATTAAATGATGTAGTGCACTGTCCACGGTTCTCAGGGGAGTAACATTTACGGTGTAGAGCGTTTATAACACCAGGTTTCTCTATATTTTTAGCTACGTTAACTGTTTCAGCCAGGTCAATTATGTATTGGTTATGGTGTGTATTTCATGGTGCTGGTCCCCGGGTTACCTGCTGATGCGGTGGTTGTGATCGTGACGGCCCGTGAGCAGGGCCTGCTGGCTGGGGGGCCCTGGGCTGGGCTCGGGGGATGTAAAGTACCATCTCCTCAGTTTTACTACTGAACTGAAGAAAACACAAGCTAAAAATGGGGATGTAGTGTATTTGGGAAGAATAATGTAGGAGCAAAAGTGCAGTTGACCTTTGAACAGCATGGGGTTAGGGGCGCTGACCACCCCACCCCAAGCAGCAGAAAATCCACAGATAACTTTTGACTCTTCAAAAACTGAACTACTACAGCCTGCTCTTGATGGGAAGCCTTACCAATAACATAAGCAGTCGAGTAACAGTCTTCTACACTGTATTCTTACAATAAAGAAAGCTAGAGGAAAGGAAATGTTGAAATCCTAAGAGAAAATACCTGTCTAGTACTGATTTGTATTTATCGGAAAAATCTGCATGTAAGTGGATTCGTGCAGTTCAAACCAGTATTATTCAAGAATCAATGGGATATTTTTCCCTGTTGTTAACTGTTACTTTTTCATGTTACTTAATCATTTCTGATCATTAATTATTACCTCATTAATTCAGCTTAATATTTTTAGCAATTAAAATTGGTTAGAGGTTCCCTTATTCATTGTCAATTAAAATAAAGCAATATTAATAGTTTAAAATACCCAATGGTGTATATAATATAGAAGAATATCAAGTTAGATAAGCATTGAATATTGCTTGTGCAGGTGAAACTTACAGAAGGCATGTACTTTCCCATAACCTTCTATCAATGAGTTATATAGGAGTTATTCTTTTCTTTAAATTTTTACTTTGAAATTATTTTAAAAGTATGGAAAAGTTGTGAGAATTGAATAAAGAACTTCTAGTATGTAAATTGCACTTCAATCAAGCTATTTTTATTTATTTTACTTACTTTATTTTTACTGGTATATATTTTTAGAGAGGGAGAGAGGGAGTTGGGGGCAGAAGGGGAGAGAGAAAGAATCTCAAGCAGACTCCACACCCAGCACAAAGGCTGACTTGGGGTTTGATCTCACAACCCTGAGATCACAACCTGAGCCAAAATCAAGAGTCAGACGCTTAACCCATGGAGCCACCCAGGAGCCCCTCAATCAAACTATTTTTAAAAATTGACATCAGTAGGGGTGCCTGGCTGGCTCAGGTGGTGGAGCGTGCAACTCTTGATCTCAGGGTTGTGAGTTCGAGGCCACGTTAGGTGTAGAGATTACTTAAAAATAAAAACAAAAAAATCTTTAAAAACAACTGTGCGTAGCTTCATACAGCATCCCGGTAGTGCCATCCGAGCTAGAGCCATAAGTGGAGAAGTTGGGGGTGGTGGCATGAGTGCAGTGGTTTGATCATTCACAGGACCTGCGTTATTGACACTGCTGTAGTTTGGAAGCTGGATAATTTTCAGTGACTTTAGAACCAAAATCACTCCTCTGTCTTCCAAAGTATCAGAGGAGGAGAATAAGCCCAAAAAGACAAACAGAACCCACTTCATTAACCAGATACAGAAAACACTAAGAATCATGAAATAGACATGGAACGTTATTGAGAGAAGGTTGAATGTGCATAGAATAAACTCATCTGTTAAGGAAAAGAACTTTCAGACTGGATTAAAAAACTCTGCTGTGTACAAGCAACATACCTAAACAAAGTGCTTCAGAAAGATTGATGTTTCTTGTTTGGTGTATAACCTCCCCCTGGTGACCCCAAAAGAACTAGGGGGATCGGGGATCAGCTTCACGGTTTTATGCCCTGGCACATGTGACCAGATATGAAAACAGGCCTCTGTGCATCTAAAGAAAATCAGGCAATAGCCTGAAAGAAACATGTCTGTGCTTTCTGGTTCCTCTTGGGCTTGTCGTGAAGTCTGGGGATGTTGCCGTGTTGGGGCCTGGAGAGCGGAAAGAACGCGGGGGAGGCTCGCAAGTGCGCAAACCAGTGGGACCAAGGAGAGGGTCTTCTGAGGGCCAAGTTTTATCATCCAGTCATGGAAACAGTCATATAAGTTAAATTCTTACATACTAAGATTGTAATACGATTAGGTAGTTTTATCAGCGACCTTTATTACGAGAGACTAGGCTTCTAGAATCTTCCAGTTTCAAAATGACACCAAACCTAGAGGTAAGAAAATTAAGGACCGGGCGCCTGGGTGGCTCAGTTGGTTAAGCAACTGCCTTCGGCTCAGGTCATGATCCCGGAGTCCTGGGATCGAGTCCCGCATCGGGCTCCCTGCTCAGCGGGGAGTCTGCTTCTCCCTCTGACCCTCCCCCCTCTCATGTGCTTCTCTCTCTCATTCTCTCTCTCAAATAAATAAATAAAATCTTAAAAAAAAAAAAAATTAAGGACCTAGTTTCATGAAAGGAAGTTTGGAAGACCTACTCCCATCAAAACTGAGTGGAGGACCCAGAGATTTCTGCCAGCTACTGATTAATTTAATTTAGTCCAGGGCCAGTAAGAATTAGGGGTGTTGCGGAAGTGGAAGGTTCCAGAGATTTTGGCAGCCAGTGGAAGAGTCTGTGTTAAAAGGCCTGTGGGAGCGTCGCAGGTTTAGAGGGAAGGAGAAGTGGGGGGTTTACATTAGCTTTTAAAATCCCACACGGAGGGCGTGGCTCAGTCGGTTAAGCGTCTGCCTTTGGCTCAGTCATGATCCCAGATCCTGGGATCCAGTCCCGCATCGGGCTCCCTGCTCGGCGGGGTGGGGGGGGAGGTGGGGGGGTTTGCTTCTCCCTCTGCCTCTGCCTGCTGCTGCCCCTGCTTGTGTGCACCCTCCCTCTCTGGCAAATAAATAAAACAAAATCCCACATGGAGCCATAGTGAGAACAAACACTCTTGTCCCTTGTTGTTGACCCCACACAATCATAACTGAGCTGTCATTGTACCATGAAAAATGCTTTGGGGAGCTATGAGATAATCTTCCTATTTTAGATTTTTTTTCAAGGATCTAAAATACATTAAATATGAAATTCAATTTAGAGTTTTCAAATATCTTTGCAGTTGTCCTAAGTTAGGCTCTGAAGGTGGAAAAAAATCACCTTAATATTTGTGCTTTCCAGTTGGCTCGGCATGCCCGGTGAGAGTGCCCTTCAGTCCAAGTCCTGTAAAGAGCAAAGGCAAACTTGCATAATTTAAAAGTTATGAAACTCCTTAGTGCCGGATTATTGGAGAAGAATAGCGTCTGCTAAAGCTAATTAAAGTTTAATATGTTCAATGAATGTGATTGTTACAGGCAAAAAAATCATTAAAGCGCTGTAGAAAATTGTTAAGTTGCCATCAGGCCACATAACAAATTGATGATTTTTCTCACTCTGAATTAATGCAAATTCCCGTTGTGCTCTATTTAGTTATGCACGAAATGGTGCCCTTGACTCAGATTTCAGTGAAGAACTTCATTTTTTTTACTTTTAAGGCTCCAAGTGGGAAATTCAATTAGCATTATGAAAGAAATGCTAAAATGGGGCATTTAATTCAAAATGTATTTCAGGCTCTTCCCATTTAGCCAGTCACTCACCTTTCTCCCTGTGCTCGCTGACTCTGCCTTCAGAGGTCCTTTTGTGTTTCAAAATGTGATGTTTTCATTTTAGTTTATTCAAGCATTTGAAAAAATTGCCCTCCATGAACTCAGAATGTGAAATAATAAATGTAATTAATGTGCTTTCTCCTTCTCTTTTGGTTCCTGTTCTAACACTTTCATGAGACACTTAAAATAGCATATAAACTATAATTTTTAAAAAGACAGTGGCTTTTAGCACATACTATATGCCCCATATACTGTTTAAATGAAGTTTTTAATTTAACAGTGAGAAACATACAAAGGCTGATAGTAAGTGTGTAAGTCTTGAGTCAGCATTTTGTGGGCTGTGCTGTTCCTCAGTTTTGCCCACATTGTAAAATACATGCTAAATTCAACATACAAATGAAACAAAACCTGCAGAGAAGCAGTTTGGGCCAGTTGGGCGCCTGCTCTGCTGGGCGACAGGGTGCAGGCACCTCCAGGGGTCCCCATCCAAGCAGGGACATCACTCCAATTTTGTTCTCTCATTTCCACAATGGGTGGTTAGTACATAATTATTTTTTATATTCTTTGATCATAATTCTTGAATATAATTTAAGCTAATTATGTGCTCAGTTTTATAGGCTTTTTTCACTCAGCATTACATCAGGATCATTTTTCCTCATATTAAAACATCTTTGAAATATTTTTAATAAACTTCATAATGTCCCATCATGCAAATTTACCACAGTTGACTTACAGTTTATTAGTTGTTTACAACTCTTCCTTCCTTTTGATGCTGGGCACATCCTTGTGCATAAACCATGATCTGTGTCTCTGATTGTCTGCTCAGGAGGCAGTCCTGGAGGTCAGAGGACGTGCATGTCTGTGGCTCCCGGCGCCTGCGCCACGCTGGCCTCATGGGCGGCTAGGCCAGACTACGCCTTGGAGGAACTGCTAGGGGGTTTCGGTGTGAGCCTTTGCTCTGGTGTTGGAAGCACAGGTGTCTTGTCACAGCTCTGAGGAGGAAGCATGTGACAGGTGTATGGGGCACTCACCCGGAGGTGAAACCAGCCAGGCGCCTGTTGGTGGCCGCCATTTTGTTCTCCTGGGCCCTGTTTTCTGGTACAGTGAGGGGTGCAGCCGCTAGCTGGGTGTCTGAAATCCTGTAGCAAGGGAGCTAAAACCAGGCTTGCCTGAGAGTTGGCAGATTCAGGCTTTCAGGATGAAGACCGTCTCCACTTCATCGGGCTCCGACATGTAAATCACATCTTGTGTCTAATGGTGTATATTGTATAAGAGGGAGATAGAGTCCCTAGTTATTTGTGGCTCTCAAAGAGCTGGCCTTTCCAGAGATGGCACGCTCAGCCCGCCTGATCAAGTTAGCCTGCAGATACAACTGCACAAGGGTGAGGTGACTTAGCACGTGTGTATTCATAGCATCGTTATTTGTAAAATTAATAAGTAAAATAACGTAACTGTTCATCGACAAATGGTGCTGCACGCATCTAGTAGAATACCATACAGCCTCAAAAAAGGAGGGAACCAGATTGATTGAGAAAGATCATAGAGACAGAGTATCACGTGAACGATGATCAAGGTCCACACAGTGTGCATAGTGTGCTAACGTCTTCTAATTTAAAGTGGGGAGGGAGAAGATATTTTCTTGTCTGTGCACGAACCTCTGTGGGAAGGTACTTAAGACCCTGAGCACTGCTGCTTGTGGCCCGGGAGCCGGCAGCTGGGATGGAGAGTTTGCGCTGTGCCTGAGCAAACAGAGTCTGAAACGTAAGCGCTTAGTCCCTCCGTCCTGCCGGCGCTCCTGGGGCAGCAGGACGAGCGAGAGCCACGCCATCCTCCACCCTCTCGTCCTGTACCTGGTCACTGAACTCACGGAGGAGCTGGGTCGCTCCTCTGCACGTCTTGTGAACCTGGTCATTAGAGGATCATCAGACTCCGGATTTGAATTTTTCTTTTTTGGCAGTAACGTTCCATAGATAAAACGTTATCTGCTTCACGTTGTGTCACTTCGGTGTCAAAGACCCGGTGTCTGAGTCGGCGGCCGGAGGGGCCGGGATTGGTGTGAGGCTTCGGTCCGCCTGCTGCAGAGGCCCCTTGCGGCCATGCCCTAGACCCGTTCTTTCATGTGCTTGTGAGACAGCCACACTCCCAACTGCGGCATCTCTTCACTTCTTAGCTGACATTTCCTCTGAAGAAAAACTTTATTTTTTCTCATCAGTTATTTGGTTACCCTGAGGACTCTTCGTGCAGAAATGATAGAATAAATCATTATCATTGTTCACTTACCAGTTTTCAGAATACCGAGTGGGTTAACTAATACCTCATTAAGGCAACCGTACGTTTAGCTGCTTTACTATCACCACGAATGCATGGACTTTAACATTTTATGTGTTTCAGTCAATTACAAGTATTCCTTTTCGCCTTCAGAGCGTGCATCTGTGGGCGGGGGGCTGCCCTTAGGTGGGCCTTCTAACCCACCTGAAGGCAGGGGGAGTGTGGGGTGGCTGGCTTTCTGGTGTGACACATGGTGACACTTTGTCAGGTGCATTTCCTGGCTCCATATGGAATCCCGTATTTTCCCAAGGAGCCCTGGTTCCTTCGCATGAGAAATGGGTCTACAGAAACCAAACCTGGGCGCTCAGGCTGTTCACTGTCACATGTGGTTATTGTTTCCAGGCCCTGGAAACCATGGACAGTGTTAGGAAATGGGTGGGTTTTTTCCCTAAGAGAAAAATACATCACAAGTTCAAACTGACATTTCCAATTCAAATTTAAACTTCCAGGGTTTTTATTTCTTTGATTTTATATTTGGATCTTGTTTTAACAGGGACAGTTGAGGTTTTCAACTTCCTCTTTTTTTTTTAAGATGTTATTTATTTATTTGACAGAGACACAGCGAGAGAGGGAACACAAGCAGGGGGAGTGGGAGAGGGAGAAGCAGGCTTCTCGCTGAGCAGGGAGCCTAATGCGGGGCTCGATCCCAGGACTCCGGGATCATGACCTGAGCCAAAGGCAGACGCTTAACAAATGAGCCACCCAGGCGCCCTTAATTTGCTCTTTTGCTTCATCTCCTAGTGAATTCTGGAGTCCCACAAGTCTGTTACTATTCCACACAGATGCGCAGTAGTTGTAAGGAGCACCATGGTGGTTCTAGAACAACACTGCGGGGGCGGGGGGCGCCTGAGCAGCTCCCTGCTCGCACTCAAGCCCTCTCTCTCAAATAAATAAAATCTTAAAAAAAAAAAAAAAAAGAACACCACTCAGAATAACGCCTCCCTGTGTGATTAAGCCACCAATGCGTAGGTTCCTTTGTTTCGTTTTGCTTTCAGTATTTTGAGATTGCTGTTTTCCTCCCCTTTTGAGTGAATTTGGGTTTTTTTCCTGTTGTGACATCCGCGTGGCTCAGAGTTTAGAGAAGGCAAGCTCTGTCACCGTCCCTCCACCCTGCTCTGTCCCCCAGGTGGCTTCTGTCTGTTCTGACATATATTCAGGTCTTCCCTCTCATACCTTCTTGAATTTAAACAAATTTTTAAAAGACTAAAACAAAACCGTGGAGGCCCTGCTCACTGGAGAGGTTCTGTTTCCCGTGAGTGAACGTTGTGCTTGTCCTTTCTCACGCACAAAGTGCAGGGCACAGTATTTGGTGTTCTGCAGAGCTCAGTCTGGAGCATCATAAAAAACTGGATGTCTTTTGGGAAAATGTGACAACAACGTTTTACTGTTTGAAGCAGGCAGGTTTTGTGTGCTTTTAAAAAATCCATTCAAGGTCCGCCTGTTAAAGCCACGTCCTGCACACCTGCTTTCTTTTTAGGAGCTGTACCCTGCGTTCTGCATTCACAACGGAGGCTCTGACCTCGAGCGGCTCCCCACGGCCAGCACCTGCATGAATCTGCTGAAGCTCCCCGAGTTCTATGACGAGACACTTCTGCGAAGTAAGCTTCTCTACGCTATCGAATGTGCTGCCGGCTTTGAGCTGAGCTGAGCCGAGACGGGGACTGACCCTCCGCAGAGGAGATGCCCAGGCCTGTGGCTGCACCGTGGGCAGTTCCCCCGGCCGCCAAGGGCGCTGGGGCCAGACTCCTGCAGCTCTCCTGCCCCTCCCCCGTCCCTTATGCCCCGTCCTCCATTTTCTAGATGGTCCGTTAAGTCATGGTCACTCACTTAGATGGACACTGCTTTTCCAATAACTTAGAGTAACCAATGTTATGTGCCATGTGGCTACTTTAGTAACTTTGCCAAGAAGAGCACAGTTTTAAGACTAGTGGCAACTCAGTGAAATTAACCAAAGATGAAGCTTTGGCTTTGCTGATGGACTCGAGCCCTTCCTGAGCTGGGGGGGGCTGGGGGGGCGGGGGACAGCGCGTTTGCTTGGTCTGCAGAGACGCCGGGTCTGAGAGATGGAGACGCGTCCTCTCTGGGCCCGCTGCTTCTCATGTGGCTGAATTGTTTACAGTCCTAATTGTTAAAACTAAAGGCATTTTCTCTCCTGCTGCCTTTTCCCAAAGTGGTTAGGTTTGGAAAATACACAACAATGATAATACTTTATTTGTGCTTTTTAAGCCATTCCCCTGAACGGGACTAGCATGCTTGTTTCGGTTTACCGTTGACCGCATCATGGTGGTTTGGGTATTCCTGTGTGTGGGTGTGTGTGAGGGGAGACTTCATCCTTCTTCCATTTCTGGCTCCACCTCGTGGCCTCAGAGCTTCCGGGAGAGGGGAGGGGCTCGTCCGGTTCCCGCGGCTCTTGTGGCCCGCGATCGGTGGCGACTTGGAGAGAGCAGACACTGGCATCGATTCGAATCACTTGAACCAAAGTGGAGGGCTGCGGCTTTGCACTGGGGCCGCCTGCCGTGGCGGGGCCTCGAGGCCGGCTGCCCTCCTCCCCCGGGGCTGCGCCCGCCCCTCTTACCGGATATCTGGATATCTGGGCCGTGCGCCACGCTTCTGCACCCTCTGCTTCTCGACGGTGCTGCGCTGAAGGAAGCCTGGACAGTCCCCAGCGCGTGTCCAGGGGGAGGAGTGGTGGTGACTCTCTCTTAAAAAGGCACTTTATCAGGACCTACCTTGTTGCTGGGTGATTTCGGTCTCTGAAAACGGAGAGCGCGTCGGAGCGTCAGTCACGAGAGCCAGAGTGACCCTCGCTGATGCTGGGGGCCTGGGGGCTCTCGCTCTGACCTCCCTCTGCCTCACCTAGCGTTTCCTGTCACTGGGCTGTGGGCTGTCCTATGGAATTGACCAGAATTAGCAATATGCTTTTAAATGCGGGGAAACTGAATGACACTTTTAAGACAATGACCATATCAAAACAAAATGTATAATTTCATAATTTGAATAATAAATTAAGTGTTTAAATGCTATTTGTAGTCTTGATATACAGAAATAAAATAATTAGGGTTTGTCCTTGGTTTTATTTTTATTTTAGGTTGGTTTATGTTGCATGTTCTGTATCTTCTCTGCATATTAGTTTGTGTATTTTATTATCAGCATTCTGAAAATGGATTATCTGGGACTGAAGGGAGATGGGCAATTACACTTGGTTTTTTTTTTTCTCACCTATTCTGAGCTTATTTATTTATTTGTATGTTCCAGTGGTTAAATATTTGCATTAAATGTTTTTTCCCCCAAGATTGTGTTGGAGTCACCCGAAATCATTGTGATTCATTGCTAAAACGCTTGTTTTATCACGGGTGTGTAAGTGACGTCAGGTAATGCAGCTTAAGGACAGCCTGTGATTATTGCTGAGACCCCACCAGACTGGACAGGACACCCGCCGTCTGCACACACATGCTCCAGCAGGCGGACCTGGGACCGCCCTCCTGGCCTGTGCTGTCCCGGGAGGGACGCCACCTTCCCAGGGCTCTCCGTGGGTTTAGCAAGATGCTGTTGAGAAAAATTATACGTAAAGGGAGACTCTCCTTCTGTGCTTTGTTTGCCTTTCTCTGTGTTCTGTTCTACTTTGTGTTTACTGCTAACAATTTTGTGCTCAAATGGAACGTTGAGTTAAAGTGGGGGGTTATTCCAGGTGTTTCTCACAAGCTGTCGCCTGCAGATAGAGTCTGGCCGGCGTCCTCACCGCTCGGTGGTCTTGTCGCCACGCCCTGCCCCGGTGCTCACGACAGCCCCACCTGCAGCTTGCATGTGGTGAGCACCTATGCACGGCATAGCCGGGCACCATGGAGCCCGCCACAGCCACAAGCAGCCATGGCCCTGGCGCTCGAGCCCCAGCCTGCGGTCCTCACAGGCCTTCTGGGCACAGACCCGCCGTTGGCAGCGATGAAGAACCGAGGCAGGGCCTCGCAGACCTGTGGATGCTCGTGGGATTTGGAGCGAGGAAGGGCTCCGGAGACTTCCTCACAGGGAGCGGTGAGCTTGACACAATTTCATACTGAAGCTGTCTCATAATTTAAAGAAAGATAAACAGCCAAAAGCATATGATAATGCAAATAAAATAGAAACCTGGGGCCTAGAATAGGAGCCTAAAATAAGCTAACCAAAGCTAATAATTAGCGATCTCTCGCCGCCAAGACATAAACCCAGAAACTTAACAGTCAGCTCTTTGAAATTTATCTGTTCCAGGCCAGAAAGCATTACAAGTGTGTAATAACCTGTCTGAAGTAACACAGCCACATGTACCACACAGGACGGCGGATTTCACCTGGATGCCTCTGCTCCCCAAACGGAAAGTGTGTGTCGGTGAGCTCTCTTGGCTTCCAGAGGCTTCTCCTGGTGCTGTGGTGGCGGCCAGGCTCAGCAGCCTCGACGAGTCCTTGTGCAAGGCTTTGGAGAGCTGAGAGGACCACGTGGGCTGCAGGTGGGAGGCTCCTGTGGGCTCCAGGGCTGTGGGCCATGAAAAGCTCTCTGCTTCCAGAAGAGTCTAAAAGGGAGTTCTCTTTTTTTTTTTTTAAGATTTTATTTATTTATTTATTTGACAGAGAGCGAGAGAGGGAACACAAGCAGGGGGAGTGGGAGAGGGAGAAGCAGAAGCAGGCTTCCTGCCCAGCAGGAAGCCCGATGCAGGGCTCGATCCCAGGACCCTGGGACCATGACCTGAGCCGAAGGCAGACGTTTAACGACTGAGCCACCCAGGCGCCCCTGAGGGGGAGTTCTTAAAGCCTGAGGACTTTGTGCCTCTGCTCATGTGTCTGTCAAATGAGGATGATCTGGGTACTTGGGCTGCCCAGCATGGATATGAGGGGACATGCAATAGAATCTCACTTTAAGCTGGTCTCACATGGTGAGACCGTGCAGAGGCCCAATGACAGCCGTCCGACCCTGGCCTTAGTAAGCAGACGCCTTTGCTGTTTCCTCGGCAGAGGTGGGCAGAGGACAGTCACCCATCTTGTCTTCCCGCCTCTCCGTTCCGTCTGTGGAGGGACGGTTCCCAGTCAGCTCTGAGCGCTTCTCGGGAAGTAACATCCTTCGCTTGTATACGTGACACCTCACAACCCGCCGTGTGATCCAGTCAACACTTAGTGGAAGATCGTTCACCTTACACGGGTGGTGCGGCCTAGGTCAGGAACCCCCCCTCCCCCACCGGCCTCCCTGGTGGGCTCTGTAGTTAGCACAGGCTGTGTTTCCTCCCTCCATCCGGAATAAAGCAAAGGGCAGCCTTACTGTGGAGTTGAGAACCTGCGTGGGGTCGACTGGGGACACAGGGTCTGAACACCTCTTGGAGCTACAGTGAGCCGACAGCCAGGACTGCGAGCAGAAGCACATGTTCCGATTTGGGATGAGCCTGTGGACTGGTGAGTGTCGTTACCAGAAGCTTCTGCTTGGACCCAGTGCTATCTGAAGAATTGAGGTGGGGCAGTGAGTGGATGCCATACAGACTCAGACCCGAGAGAGGAGAGCCAGCCTGAGAGTCATGCTGCACAGATTGCCCAAGCTAGGGGAGGATCTGTTTGAAGAAAATCTCACGTATGATTAGCTTCCTGCGGCTGCCGTGATGTGACCCCAGACGGGTGACGGGCACAGCAGCCTCCATCCTCCATGCTGGAGGCCCGGAGGAGGCGTCTTAACCCGGCTCCGTCTGGGGAGGAACCTGTTCTCTTACCCTCCTGGTGGCTGCCGGCGCTCCTGGGCTGTGGCCACGTCTCCTGCCCGTGCCAAACCTCTGCACTCCTCCTCTGCAGACATTTGTCCACTGGAATGAGGGCCCCACGGGGAACCCAGAGTGACGATTCTATCTGCAAACACCTTTTTTTCCACATAAGGCCGCCTTCACAGGCTCTAGGGCGAGGACACGAACCTCTGTTGGGGGTCCAGCATTCAGCCCACCACCTCTGTTCTTTCCCTGCGAAAAGCAGAGCAGCGTGCTAGACGAGCGCTTAACCTGAGAGTTGGGAACTGCAGAGCCCTGAGCAGGTCCATCCTTCGCCATCAGGGGAATGCAGGCCCACACCGGATCGGTGTTCCCCATCCCCAGGATGATCCAGGGGAGGAGCTCACCTGTCTGCATTTTTCAAGTGTCCCAGACGGTCCTTTGCGGGTAGCTGTTGGAAAACAATTACCTAACCTCGCAAAGTCTTGAGCCGCTGAGCACTTCAGGGCAGGGGCTGTGGAGCGTCCCACCCGAGGCGGGCGGGATCTCTGTTCTGGGCAGTGCTGGGCCCTCTGCTGCGGGGGCGGAGCCGGTTCCCTCCAGCACACGTGCCCCACGTGGGGCTCCTGGGAGACGGGCCCAGCAGGGTCCCCTTGTGTCCCCCACCCCCGCTGCAGGCACACACGAGCAGGTGTTTTCGGGGATCCCCGGGCCAGACTCGAACTGCAGTTCACACACTGCGTCTGTGTCCACAGGCACTCCCCTGTGCCTCCACTGCCCCCTTACCTAGACTCTGTGAGCCCAAGACGTCTGCTGAACCCCGCCTGGGCCCCAAATTCCTGGCTCATCGTCACTGGCTCCCCACGCTGCTGCCCTGTGTGCTGCTCCCAGAACAGCCCAACTGACCCTCGTTGCATCTTCTGCCACCGCCCTGTCCTGTGCCCTAGTCTGGGGTTTGCCTGGCTCTGCAGGTGCCTCCCAAGTGTCCTCCCTGCTCTGTGCTTGCTCACCTCCAGTCTGTTTTGAACTCAGTAGCCAGAGGAAACCCTGGATCCTAAGCCAGTCCTCCCCATTGCTCCACTGCAGGGGGTGGGGCGGGCCTTAGTGACAGGACCCAGATCCCCCCCTGCCCCCGCTCGCTAACCCGCTCCGCGGGCTGCTTTGGCTTCCTCCTCTGGCGTCAGGGCCTTTGCACTCGCTCTCTA